TCATGTACAAAGTCTGCTGTTTCCAAGACATCGTGAGGCATATCAGGCAAAGTAGCAACAATTGTTTCTATTGCCGCAGCCATTGTATTACTTAATGTTTTTGTTTTTTTAATATTTTTTCTTCTCGGACAAAATTAAGCTCTAAGTGAAAGTTTCATTGTTTTATGTGTGGCGTAACGAAACGTGCGTTTACGAATTTTATTGGATCGCGCTTGCTTTGTTAAACAGTCATAACTTTCTGCTCGTTCTCGTTTTAGTGACACTTGTTTACAAGTAGTTGTTCATCTTAAAATTACATAGTAACGTAAAACTTCTTCACTAAAATCGTCGTTATGTTCACGGCGACCCACTAAACACTTAAATTCGTATTCATTTACGCTATTGATTATTTTAGTTACCGCATCTCGCTCCAAACTGGTAGTAAAAATATCACTAATAATAGAGAGTTCTTACAAATCGTTTAGTTTAACATTAACTTTAACTAAACAGAGGTACTGCCATCATATGTTTTTGACACTGACAGCGGCTTTTTGACCTTGAAAAAAATCATGTCAATTTCACAAATTTATATCGCAAAATTTAAAAAAACTCACTAAAACTTGTATTGCGCACTGCAACTCAAAGATAAAACTCTTTAATTTGCCTCAATTTAGATGAAATAATATTATAAACTTGGAAAATAGTTCAAACATTTCAATGCATAGAAACTCAAAACTCTTTAAGGTATGTGGCTAAAAAGATTAAAGAAGACAGATAGATTCAAAGATATAGGAGAGTATACGAATATGCTCTTATGTATTAGTATTACATAGTTTACCTTTTTCATTCGTAATTCCTTTTCTTCAGAAACATTTTTGCAGTATTTATAAAAAAAAAAACAGAATTATGTGTATTTATTTCTTAGCGCAACACCGCATCTAAATTCAGAAAACCATTGCCCAAAAATTCTTGAAAGTTATTTACAAGCCACCACGCACAGGCTTTGTGAACTGGGCCATACTCATCTTTATCTACATTACCATTACTACACTTTGCCACTTTTGCCTTTATTTGACCAACCTGTGAGACGTTTCTGAACTATTTCTTGGTTGTTTCGATGTATAAAAGTATGTAATATGAATTGTTCAACCCACGTTTTTTATTTATAAAATGTTTTCGGAAAGTTCCCGCCGAAATTGGCACTTATGACATTTAATGTTGACGTAATTTTTCAAGGTCAAAAAGCCGCTGTCAGTGTCAAAAACATATGATGGCAGTACCTCTGTCTATGACAGCATCTAGTACCTTAACTTTAACGACAACGTCGATTAATTGTCGTGTGTACGACTTTCAAAGGCGAAAGGTGTGTTCCGTCAATTCGAAGGCGTTTACGTGACATTTCTTAGCAACGGCCATTTGTCGTAATACGTTAAACTTTTTATTTGTTACTCATTTGTAAACGTCAATTTCCAAAAACACAATATTAATCAAGAAAGTTTATTTTACGAAGTCACTAAGTTGTAAAACTGACAGTTAACTTGTAAAAGTACTACACGTTAGTAGCATTATTTACATTAGAAAATTAGAGAATTTCATCACATTGACAACATCCAAAAATCCTAAATATTGTTACAATTTTCGCAAGCAACCACTGGTCATCAGGAGCGTCCAAAGAAATCGTTCAACCTCTTCATTACTCTTAATACCTTGGCCCTTTTTGGCGTATAACGTTAATTGGTTCGTTTAAGAAACGCTATTACCTTTTGAAATCTGCAAATGACAATTAAACGTCACATTTTTTATAACAACTTTTGAGCATAGACCATTTTGCCCATAAAGTATTAGGACTGAATCTAGCAGATAGTTGATTCACGTGGACCAGCGGTTTTCAACGTTTTTACAAATCAAGGGCCAAAAATTTTTTTTTCTGCGCAGCGGGCCTCACCATAGGTATTTTTATAAGGATTTTTTTATTTTCAATGGTCAGGATGATTAAACAAGTAGATAAGTAGAAAACATTTATTTATTGAACCAACATCAACAAAAGGGGCAAATAAAAATCAATACAATGCAATTGGTCAATGAGATGTCTGACACTGCTTATTTTTAACCAGTTTATCATTATCTGGTTTAATATTTCTGGTTGCAATCCTCAAACTGTTCTCAAGGTGAACATCGGTGATTCTGGTTCTCGTTTTGGATTTCACGTTTTTCATGCGTGAAAATAACTGCTCACATGTACAAGGTGATTTTTTTAGAGCCTACATTAGAAACTTTTTAACTTCTAATGCAGATAATAATTTGAAACTTTGTACACAACCCAAGTCGACTAGTCTAAGTTCAATTAAATTATTTTCAAAATGGCTGAACTTCCGGAACTACGAGAAATTGGCGTCAACTTTGAAATTTTAAATGGTACCCACTTAATTTTATTGCATTGTTGAATTCTCCTCTTTAAACTAAGTAAAATGTACCTAGTTGTTAGTACCTATCTGTCATAGTTTTTGACATATGTCAATTTTTTGGTCAAAATTTTCACTTGCAGGGGTTCATTCAAAACATCACAGCTCTTGAACCCTTTGCGATAAGTGAATATTTTTTTTTGCATTCGATAACCAAAGGTTCGAAAAGTTTTCTAGAATTTTCAAAATTGTCAACTGTCAAATTGTAAGGCTAGTATGATTTTTTGAAAATGATCATTACCAAACCGCTATAACTCAGTTTTTTCAAATGAAATGACTCTATTTTCTCAACGGCAATCAAAAGTACATTAATTTGTAGAGGGACTTTTATCAACATGTCCTATACCTATCTCTTACAGTTTTTGAAATAATCACGAAAAACATGTTATAATTTTTATTTTTATAGTTAATCACATTGGCTTTGAAAAAATACAATAAAGATATACCATAATTAATACAGATGTTCGATATGTTTACCATTTTTAAACATTCCAAAACTCGATGGTGAACTCATTGAGTGGCTTCCATTATTTCATTTGGTTGAAGATTATTAAATGCCGCCTCAATTCTTCGTAATTTCGAATGGGTGTTGTGTAGACTAAATCTTTAATACGTATTGATCATTTTCCAAAGCCTACGTGATTGACTATAAAAATAAAAAACAAAAACATGTTTTTCGTGATTATTTTAGAAACTGTAAGAGATGGGTATAGGACATGTTGATAAAAGTCCTTCTAGAAATCGATGTACTTTCGATTGCCGTTGAGAAAATGGGGTCATTTTATTTGAAAAAACTGAGTTATAGCTGTTTGTTAAATATCATTTTGAAAAAATCATATAAACTTTGCAATTTGACAGTTGACAATTTTGAAAATTTTAGGAAACTCTTCGGACGTTTGGTTATCGAATGCAAAAAAAAATTATTGACTTATCGCAAACGGTTCAAGAGCTGTGATGTTTTTAATAAACCTCTGCAAATGAAAATTTTGAGCAAAAAATTGACATATGTCAAAAACTATGACAGATAAGTTCTAATAACTAGATACATTTTACTCAGTTTGGAGAGGAGAATTCAAAAATGCAATCAAAATAAGTGGTTACCATTTAAAATTTCAAAGTTGGCGCCAATTTCTCGTAGTTCCGGAAGTTCAGCCATTTTTAAAATAATTTAATTGAACTTAGACTGGTCGATTTGAGATGTGTACCAAATTTTAAATTTCTATCTGCATTAGAAGTTAAAAAGTTTCTAATATAGGCCCTAAAAGAATCACCCTGTATATGTGGATCCAAAAAGTGATATTGTTTTCAGTGCATGATCTCTAATTTTGGGGAAATCTGTAATGGAGACGTATTTCGAATAGAAATCAAGCAAATCAACATCAAATTTATTTTTTAAGGTTGAATTGCACTGTAGCTCTATCAATTCCATCTGAAATTCTACTTGAACTTCTTCAACTGAAACGCTGAATGGACGAGCAAATAAATTCAGGCACTTTTCGTCTCTCCGAAAATCAAGGAATCGCGAATGGAATTGTGTTTTCAGATCCTGAAGTGCAGAAATATATTTGTCCATATTCGAAATCTGGAATAATGACAGATGAGGAAAATGCGTGGTAATGTTTCTTTGGAACTGGCAGATCCATAGTTCGAGTTTTAATTCAAACGCTTTTAAAAAATCAAGTAATTAGTGAACTAAATTATTTTTTCCTTGTAATTTCTGATTCAAGTCATTGAGTTGTGATGTGATATCGGTAAGAAAACCCAAATCGGCCAACCATTATTCATCGCTGAAATGCGGCATAGCTTTATCTGTACTTTGCATAAAATCGGCAATTTCTTTTCGCAAGTCAAAAACTCGTTTTAACATTTTACCTCGGCTCAGCCAACGAACATCGCAGAAATAAGTTATGTCATCGTATTCAGCATTGATCTCTTTTAAAAATTCCTTAAACTGCCTGTTCACTGTTTTTACTACAATACTCATAACATCATTGATATTAACAGACTTTGCACACAAGTTTTCTTGATGAATGATGCAATGGTACTGTACAAAAGAAACATCAGGATTATTTTTCTTTACTAAAGCAACAAGTCCTTCGTTTTTTCCAACCATAGCCGGAGCGCCGTCCGTAGTAATCTCAGCCAAATTTGACATATTACCTTTTGTGCTGCCTTTCATTGGAACTAAAGCAGCCATTTCTTCAATGACAACAAAATTCCTGTCAATGCCGCGAATAAACACAGCCAACTGCGCGGTATCAGTTAAGTCTGTACTCTCGTCGAGCGCAACGGAGTAATAAACGAATTGCGACGCACGTTCCGACAACATTCTTTCTATATCCCCTGCCAGGTCTTCTATCCTCCGAGCTACAGTAACACCAGACAAACTTATTTTGGAGTAAAGTGGTTTCTATAAGGGAGATAACACTTCTGCTGCATCCTCCAAACATTCTTTTATGAATTGACCGTCAGTAAATGGTTTTGACTTACGTACAATTTTTTCTGAAATAATATAGCTTACTTTTAATACTGCCTCACTGTCTTCATTATGTTTGGGGAATGAATGCTGCTGTCGTTAAAGTTGTTTCTTCAGGGACTCCACCTTATCAATACGAAGTTGTCCTTGAAAGTGAGCAAACTTACTTGAATATTTGGAATCGTAATGACGTTTGATATTATATTCCTTGGTTACAGCGACCGATTCATTGCATACGAGGCAAATCGGCTTTTCTTTAACACAAACAAACAAATATAAGTTCGTCCATTTTTCTTGAAATAATCGGCGCTTATCCGTAACTTTGCGTTTTTGACTAGTACTGGCTGCCATCGCACAACACATGCCGTGCCAACGCTCGGCACTGACTGACTAGCTAGCGAACTACGCAACGAATTTCTTAGAAAGTTTGGTATGCATGATGCCGACAGTCGAGTTATTTACAGGCTAGCGGCTAGGATAATAAAGCGACAAAAGAACGTACACAGCTGTGCAGTTTTCACTAATTTCGGCAACCTAAAGGTACTTTTTATAACTTAATTGTAGTCGTTATTGAGAGTGCTGTTGGGGGGCCGCAGAAAACATATCGGCGGGCCGCGGGTTGAAGACCCTTGGCGTAGACCAACAAAACATCTTCAGTTACCACAATCGCACTATTTTTGTTCTGATACTCACTTTTTGAAGTCGTCGTCTTCTCTCTTTCGTACCTTGAAACTGATTTTGCAGCTAATAAAATGGAAGCTACACTGCTGGCTTCCTCAATAATTTCTTTTGGCACATTTGTTTTCGCTTTCGCCAAAACAAATGAAAAGAAAAATAAACATACATGTTCATGGTAACGCTTCCATAGCTTACGACATTTACGACAAATTATTGAGAATTTTTTTCTAATCGAAATTTTAAATTTGTTTAACCTTTTTACAAATGAGAAACAAATAAAATATGTTATTAAAAATGACAAATGTTGAAAGTTTTCAGAAAATAAAGAACAAATTTACTAATCAGTGCAAATAGGCCAACTCTTTATTCTTTATTTTTTTAACAATATTATGCAATACAAGCGATCGGACCCATGCGCGCTAAGTTCCCGTGAGTCATCAGGTTCGTTCTGATCATGAGACGATAGTGATGTAACAGTAGATTTAGGGGTGTTTATGATGGGATGCTAACAAATATAAAACAATACACGCAAGGTAACGGGTTTTACTGGCTCAAGGAGGTAACTGACTCGCCTGTGGCTCGTCAGTTATATCCTCCATTCGCTAGTAAAAACCCTCTTACCTTTCTAGTAATGTTATATACTATTTACGGTTCTAATGATTTCCAATTCCATTAAAAAATTTAATATTTAATAAGATTGTGGGAAACGTTAAGTACTTCTTATTTTTTTGGCGTACAACCTCATTAAAATCCTCAGTGCCGTTGACGAGCAACGTAACCACATATAAGCAAACGCTTCATTTCCAAGTTTGGGTTAAATTAAATGGATAATCTAATTGGGTTTCGGGCCTTTAAAGATGTGGAAGGCCCTACTTCATTTTATGTTACTAAATATTTTAATATTTCAACACCGGAGACGTTGCTTCCACGTGGTGGTTTTATCAGTGAGTGTAATGACAACAGTCGAAATATCTGCCCAACTTGCACACTTTCTGGATTGCACTCTCTTGAATTCCGCATTAAATCAAAAAGTGCTGCAAATATGATGAATTTAAAGATAAAATTTAGAAATGACTACGTTGTACTTCTAAGCGGTATTGGTTCATTTTGCGTATCATAAAATACTGAAAGCCACGAACTTGTTTTGCCAAATATTGTATCAAGTTTAGAGCCGAATTAACTGTAGCAACTAAACCATTATAGGTGGACTTTGACAAGAAGAATTCAATAGGAGCAATTTCCTTCCACAGTTTTTATCCTACCGAATTTATGGAAATGATTTTGCAAACTGAGATAGTAATTTGCATACCTTATAATCATCGCTATTCAATTTAAGACCTGTTGTAGGTGAAGAAGAATTCATGATGTCAGTTATTTTATTAAGGCGCAAACAATCTTACAGTTGACTGTTAGCAGACTGATATCTTTCCATTGCCACCGTAACAGTCTTACTAAAACAACTACAATTAAAATACTACAGAAAATATGATAAAATAATTATTGATGTTTTGTTTCGTATTGGTATATTTGTAGATACTTATGTTTTGTAACTGTTTTCTGGTGTAAATCTATGACTTGGTCTTGTTTGTTACATGTAATCCGACATTTTCGCAAAGCCTTAAGCATTAAGGCTCTTCATCGTAGAAGATAACGGTAAATCCTGAACTGCAGTTGTATGTTTAATTTTTTTGTGTCATACAACATTGCAATTCGTCATTTTTAACCGATTTTCTATGCGTCAGTCGGCTATCACTTTTGCACTCATCGTTGTTCATATCTTCTTCAACGACAGCAAATTTGAAAGGCCGATAGATACGACCCGGGTACCTACTGGTAATAAAGTAATAAATTTTAGAATAGGGCCTCATCGCAGGGTGTAACCCACAAACATGATCGTTTTATTTCGTTAGTTCCAAGCAAAGATATGCATCTGCACCCCTCAAGAAGAGAATTGTTAGTTCATTTCAAAACTTCAATTTTTTAATTATTCATCTATTTAAAAATAAATTAAAAAATTGATAGGTTTAATATAAAGCCACTAAGTCCAATACGTAATCCTAACAAAACTATCGTTAAAGCTTTTGCTACATTTTATTCATACAAGCCATTTAGTTTTTTTTTTTACTTCAAACCTAGGTATTATTTTGTATAGGTGTAACTATTATTATCAAAGGGAAATCTTACTGTAATATGATTTAGTAAAGTATAGTAGGTATGTAATTTTATTTTTGTTATAATTGTTTTAACGTACTTATATGGGGTAAACAATATTAAAGCGAAAGAATTTTGTAAAATATTTATTGTAATAATATTATATATATAATACAAAATTATTTTTTAGTGTCGCAGATGTAACAGAAAAAATATTGTAAGTTTTATTTTATTTAAGTTAAAAGACAATAGTGATGCACAAACCTTTCTGTTCGCGACTTATTGCTGTTCCACTCGTTTTGTGTTTGTTCCACTTGTTTTTGTTGTTCCAATTGTTGTTGTTGTTCCATCCGCGGCCTCTTCCGCTGTCTTTTTGTTCCTGTAATAAAATACTTACTTTAAATCTCTAAAATAATAGCAACACTTTCATCTTGATGCATATTTACTTACGCGCTCTGCCTCTAATTCTTCTCTCAGCTTTCTTAACTCCTCCATTAAAAAAGCCACTTCGGGAGGCCTCGCATCAGCGGCTCCAGAATCCCTACGATCATCTGAAGCCTCCGAAGCGACTTTTGATGAAGCATCGTTTTCTTCGACATGGCTGACAGGAGAATCGATTCGTAAATTTTCTATGTTTATGTCTTGTTGTTCACTCTGTATACATACAACAATAATTGTTAAAATCTAATTCAAATACAAAACATAACACAGCAAACAATATGTTTAATTAAATTGATTTAATAAATCAAATGAAATAAAATGATTTTTTATGGAACTTACCATTATTCCAGAATATGGTGGTAGGTACACTTCAGAAAGTCAAATAATAGAATGACATATTCACTCAACATCCGACATGAATAAATAGCCCCCAACAGTATCCCTCCTACCTGGTGGGACAACAGAAATGATTGGCTAATTGGTTTGCAACAATACACAGATGAAGAAGAGGGGGGGGGGGAAACATTAAAAAAATATATTTATTAAAATATATTATTAAAATTATTTTACAATATTACAATATATAATTATTTTAATTTTAAATTGTAAGGAAACAACTAAACCAAAGATACATATTGTGAGTTAGTTGTCGGCAGAATTTTAGGAACAGCAAACTCTTTATTTTGATTAAAGAAAAACAGTAAATAAAGACTAACCAGCTAAGGCTCTTCATCGTAGAAGATAACGGTAAATCCTGAACTGCAGTTGTATGTTTAATTTTTTTGTGTCATACAACATTGCAATTCGTCATTTTTAACCGATTTTCTATGCGTCAGCCGGCTATCACTGTTGCACTCATCGGTGTTCATATCTCCTTCAACGACAGCYAATTTGAAAGGCCGATAGATACGACCCGGGTACCTACTGGTAATAAAGTAATAAATTTTAGAATAGGGCCTCATCGCAGGGTGTAACCCACAAACATGATCGAGAATTGTTAGTTCATTTCAAAACTTCAATTTTTTAATTATTCATCTATTTAAAAATAAATTAAAAAATTGATAGGTTTAATATAAAGGCACTAAGTCCAATACGTAATCCTAAAAAAACTTGATATTTATATTAATTTCACTGTGCTTAGGAATTATGTGTATTACAAAAAGTTAAAAAAAATAAAAACATTTTGAGAGACAAAAATACTTCACAAAGTACTAATTTTTTGACAATTACTTGTTATCATTTATTACTGTCGATTTGTGACTTGTACTCTCCAATCTAGTGATCGGAAAGCAGGGCACTCTCCGATTTAGCGATCGGAAAGCAGGGTACTCTCCGATCTAGCGACCGGAAAGCAGGAACCTTGTAGGGCTGAATTATTTATTTATTTATTTAGCACTTATCACAGTAACAAATGGAATAAAAAACACTAACGTTACAAGTTACAAGCGGCTGTACTTTACATAGAGCAACTATTTTTTAAACACATTTCAGCATAAGCTGGTAAATAGTGATTGTAATAAAATTGTTTGATTAAAAATTATCTGAATTTCTTCAGGAGTTTTATTAATTACTTTCAAAACATCTTTGCACAACACAACCATAATCACCATCCGCTTCTTCAGTAATTTTTCTTCTGTTTACTAGATTGTTGTCATTATTTTTATTTAATTTTCGTTTTAAATTATTTGCTTTTATTTTTTGTTGTGCATTTACATATTTAGTAGTATAATATCCCGGACTTTTTTGATTTACAGCCTTTTTCAAACTATGTAAATATTTACCTTTAGAATTATATGAAATCAAAGTAGCATTCCCCCGCAATTAGTACTTCAAATTTAAATTTATTTAGAAACAGCAAATAGGAAAATAAGCCTCTTCTCTAC